TTTTTTTTTTTCTAATTTTTCTATAAACAACTAAACAAGGCTTATATAGTCGGTTTTACACAAAACCTCACTAAAGTTATCAAATGGAATGAATAAAATCTCTCCGTCTCTCGAGAAAAGAATCTTATCTTCTATTTTATCTAAATCTCCCACCGTTCAATTTTTGTCCTTTATCCAGTCGTCTATCATCGGCCTCTGTCTCTCCTTGTTCTATGTGCTGTCCCAGATGCAGCGTTGTCTTGATTCTGATCCTGAGAGCACCCAGAATTTCTAAACCTCCGAAAACAATTGGTTCTTTAAAGCTTTTGTAAAGATTAAGGAGGATCAGCGTTTCTTTTTTTTTTCATCTTCAGGTGTGGTCCTATTCTGAAAACATCTGCTCTGTAGAAGTTCGTCTTGTCTTTTTAGAATACTGAACTATATATGTATGTGTCATTGTTAGTTTAGACCTCATTTCTTGGCTGGTAGCTGGTTTTAATTGTTATTAATTATTTACTTCTCTTGAAGTTTTGTGGTTCAAGAATGATATGCCTTTGTTACTTTTTTGGCATTTATAGATATAGTTTTGGTAATATTTACTGGGTTTGACTTAATTTGGTTCTGGGGTGTGGATTTTAATCGTTTTCTTGATTTTCATATGAAAATGAAACATAAAGGCTGTTCCTTTACTTTTTGTCCTGTCGGTGTATATTCCTGGCTGCAATTGTGTTGCAAAGTTTGACAATACTGAACTTCTGTATTAATGTTATTCATCAGTACATCACATTCAGAACTTTACTGGTCGTTTTTGTCATGTTTTCTAAAGGAACTGAGATGGCTTCTCTACAAGGTCCCGCCGTTTACCAAGTTGTCCGTGAAAAACAAGCCGGTTTAACCGGGACCTTTAATTCGCCTCTACTGAAAGCGAAATTACACAAAACGGGATTATTGGGGCTCAAAGTACTTACTCATGGAAAAGCAAATGTGGGTTATAATCGGCATTCGAGAAAGTTCAGCTTGGTAAATTGTAGTTTCAGTTCCTCGTCAAATGGTGATGGGAGGACGGCTGGGAATTCGAACGAGAATGATGCCGACTATGTGAATTCAAGCGTAATTGAAGCTGGTATGCATTTTAGAACCTTAAATTGTGTGTTTGCTGAAAAAAAGGTATAATATCGGTTCTTGTGAGCCAGTGAACAAGTTGTAAAAATGAGTTTCTTGTGTGGAAATCGAACTAGGAGCAGAATTGCAAATTTAGAAGCACTTTTCTTTCAGTCATAGAGTTGATAAGTTTCTCATTTTTTATGAAGATATAAATTGGTGGTTAATTTATGCGTTTCCCATTTGGATCATTTGAGCTTGCTTGTCGTTAATCTTAATGAGAACCATTGTTAGTACGCCACTCGCAAGGCAACTGATTGTAATTTATTGCACGGTTGGCTAATGTCAACTGATGACACATGTTTATTTTCCATCTAGTCGAGGTAAGGAGTGGGGACGATGGCTTCATGGTCAAGATGAGGGATGGTCGCTATTTGAGATGCGTGCGCAATAATCTCCAGGGAGGTCATCCACCTGATTATGCCCCACATCCAGCAATTGTGTTGAAGATGGAGGATGGGACCGGACTTCTTCTGCCCATTATTGTTTGTACGTGCAAACTACTCTCGCAATCTTTTGCCCTTTTACAATATCTGCATGTTATTTTTCATTTATGTAACATCCTGGATTTTTTTCTTTTTTATTTTACAGTGGAAATGCCTAGTGTGCTGCTCATGGCAGCTATGTGCAACATCCCAATTGTATGGCATCCTTAACATTGTAATTGGAAAAATAATTTCTTTTATATATTATATACTTCCCATAAAAAAATGCAATATCGATAAATTTCAGGCTAGGCCAACCATTTATTCAGTCATGAATGATATGATTGAGAAGATGGGCTTTACAGTAAGTGTCTGTTTTTCGCTACTTTTATTTTTTATTTTTTATTTTTTCCTTACGCTTTTAGACTAGCTCTGATTTTGTTACATCGGATTTTGATTTTGTTTGCCGCTATTACAGGTGAAACAAGTACGGATCACAAAGAGAGTGCATGAGGCTTATTATGCCGAGCTACACCTTGCCAAAGTAAGATCACCTCTTTTATTACTTGGATTTTTATGCTATGTGAACCTTAAGCATTCTTGCTGAATATATAATGGAAGAAATTGTCTACCTATAGTCCGTGCGTTTTCACTCTTTTAGTTTTACGTGTGAATAAAGATCGATAACGAGGCTGAGAGCTATGTCTTTGACATGCGGCCCTCGGATGCCATCAACCTTGCAGTTAGATGCAAGGTAATGTTCCCCTAATAACTACCCTTTTATAACCTTTTTTTTTCCCTTTTCTTGGTGTGTGTATCTATGAGAGA